TCAGAACTAATTTTAAGAAATGTAAGTCTTTAGTATTCTGCATTGTGGAAAAACAATTCTACAGTTTTATTAATTCACTGAATAATGATATTAACAATTAAAAAAACCTGTTTTGGGTTTTCCCATTCAGTTGGCATATGGGGCAAAGACCGTCATTTCAGAATAATTTAACAGCTCTAATTATAAAGTTTAAAAAAAACTCCGTAATAAAATAGGTAGCCTTGGAAAGTCTTAAAATTTAAACTGATTGGCCAAATCTTTTCCTTTGGGAACTTCTCCCACAATTTCAATCGCCAAAAAGCAAAATAAAAGTGACCAAAAGGAATCATGAAAAACCCCATAAAACAATAATAAGTCTGTCTATAGGACAGGTGTGAATAATCATTTCAAAAATTAATATCGTGACGGTAGACGGTATTCCACGCTTTTAGAATATCCGTCGCGAACACTATCTTTAAAAAGTGTGAACGAATTCGTTAAATACTTCATTCCTTCTTGCAAAATTTCTGTGGGCCTGTTGCTGTCGCCATTATTTATTTTCATTCTGCGAAGATTGCGCAAGTTGAAGAGTTTCCGTTTTAATTCAGTAGGTTGTTCATAAGCGAGTAACTTTGCAACCTTATCGAGGAGGCAAACTTAACAAACGTTATCGAAAAAACAAAGAAATATTGAATTCTGTTTTGAATCTAATGTTCACAACAGGAACAAAGAACCCACTAGCCGAATTGCCCTGCTCGCAACGTGTGGTTTCGCAGCTCAGTTGGTAATGGCGCCTAGCAAGCAGCTGGAAGGCACGCATTCATTAGAAGCCTGAATGTTTTTGAGGCTTCTTCGAATTCTCTACAATTGCTTAAATTTGAGTTAAACCTGCGTGAATCATTTCTGCACTTGAATGTCAGCTTTCCCTATGAAAAAAGAGCGCTTCAGTAGTTGTGACGCCTCAACAGACAGAGCTAAACAAAAGCATAAAGAATAACTCGCCTGGAGTTCATTTGTTTGGTAATCAATAGGTATGTTCTATAAAAGAACTGTAATTATTGTTTTTTTAGAGGGCACGGTAACGAATCTTGCAATCTGATTGGTTCTTTACCCGGTCAGTATTTTCCTATCTCTGCCCACGGGCCACGGGTAACGCTTTCGTGAGTCGCCGAATACATCCCAACTTTCGTTGTCATTTTTCATAAATATACCTCGTTTTCCGGCTGGGCAGTATTTTAAAGCAAACACGTCGGTCACTACCTCAAGCCGATAAATAGCTTATGAATCCTCTCTTTTCTCTCTATCAAATCTCTTTGGTTGACAGAAAAATATTGGTTTCAGAATGAATTTGTATAAACAATAGTGTCATTACGTTGGTTGACAAGCGGCCTAAAAACCGTCTGCAATTAGTTTTAATCGTTCACAAAAAGTACCCAGAAAGTTGAAACGTGAGGTATTTGGTTACAGTTAAACTGAACGATGGAACTTTCATTCATTTAATATCTGAAGTTTCTCGAGCAATTTGTTCATAGTGAAAGAGCGAGCGAAGTTTTAATTTAAGTTCTACAACAAATATACGCTCCTGGTGAGTCTTTCCAATTCCGTTCAATTTGGACATTTGTACCTTAAATTGCACAACAGAAATTGAAGGAATTTTTTGAGAAAAGGCCGCATTACATTCGCTTGTGTCTCGTTGGAGTGTGCCGTTCGAATTTAGCTTTTTGTGAAGGAAAGATCAGAGTTAAACACGCCATTACAGCAAACAAACGAGCAAACTCTCACAACTTCAAAATAAAAAAATTGAATTTACTCACAATTACTTTCCTCGCCGTTTACTTAATGAACAGAGGTAAATCTTCGTACATGAATGGTCGATGAGAGTGAATAATACTTTCCGTTAGATCATTAACTGATTTTGAAGAAAACATTGTCGTGACAGTCCTTGCCAAACTAGTTGGTTTTCAAATGTTCCTACGCTTTTTTTTTTTTTCTTGGGCGCTCTCTAATTGACAGGTGTCAGATTGTGACAGATACTTGTAAAAATAATGTTTCAAAGTTTGTTTGGAAGCCTTTTAAATCACCTTTATCGTTACGGAAATGAAAATGTTTCGCTGAGGCATCTCTCTTAAATTTGCATCACCTCTATTTTAACTACCATTTACTCACTCAAAAATTGTTCAGTTTATAGAAGATCTTGCCGTATTTACGGCCATAAATCATTCGGGTTCTTTCGGAAAGAATTTCGTCAAGTTTAAAAACAATAAATATGTTATTTACCGGCTAAGGGTCGGTCTGTACGGCTTCGGGCAGCATTTTCAAGACCGAGGGCACAGTTTTTCACCATACGGACCGACCCTTAGCCGGCAAATAACATATATTTATGGAGCCGAGTTTCAATGGTTTACGACCTTTGGTCTCTACTACAAGGAAATCTTAATTGTTTGTGACTTTATTAAACACTTTACACTTTAATATTTTTCCTGGATTGTAATTTGACGAGATTTACACTTCTTACCTATTTCGAGATTGACTTGCATTATAACGGGTTAAAAGTCTGTACCACACACATATCAAATCCCTTTTCTTGAAGACTCTTAAATACATTTCGGCAGGGATTCTTGGTTTTCACCCATGTGACTTTTGTCTCGACGACGGTTGCTATTCATTATGTTGGTGCCCAAGCAAATAGTTACAAATGCGCTTGTAGTAAGGTGTGAGTGAGAAAGTAGAAATGGTTCTAAGTGTAGTTTTCGGCTGTGGCGGCAGAAGTGATTGGGACAAAGGGACTTGACTTTATCGAATACTGTCAGTTATTAAGAATAAGTCTTCCTTCGAAGAAGAATTGACAACAGAGAGACGAGAAAAGTAGATACAAGCGATAAGTCGCGGCGACGCGATATGAGAATAAAGTTAAAGACAGACCGGTACGGACTCCCCATGTGGCTTTCGTGGTCGCGTCGCGTTACCGCCTTCAAATTATATTTTTGCTCTCAAGAGCATGTCTTAGAGTGATTTTCCCTTTTTGTAAAAGAGGATCAGAGGTTTTGTAAAATTTGTATTCAGCAACGGCTGATTATGTATCAGACTCATTGTTCCAACAATATTTGTTTTACATTTTTAACTGCCGGGTGGTTCGTTGTGACGAAAGGCAATAAACGTTCGTGACCTTTCGGCTACTCTAACAGAGACCCTTCTATGATGTTTTCTGAGTACCCTCTTGCTTTGAGGCGTTGTTTGAATTTCAAACGGCCCTCTTCAAATGCTTTTCTTTTTGGAAGAGTTAGTTTTAAGCAATCTTATTGCTTGCCTTTAATGAAACCATATTTTACGCCTGGTGGGTGGCACCACAGGCGGCCCAAGCTCACGTCCCGAGAAAAAGCCAACAATTAATTCATGAAGGCGTCACGCGTTGTGTAACTCGGTGTTAAGTTTCCAGAGGAACTGTTGAAAATTGGAACAGGTTATAAGGAATAGTATAGGAAACGAAATATGGTCGATTTACAAAGATAAATATTTCGAAATATGAACATTTTACACGTAAATCAATAAAACTTACTCACATCCCGTGTGTCCGTTGTAGTTTTTGGCGGTTTCTGCCGTTTTAAGCTTGCTTTGCCATCACTGTTACTCATGGCAAAAGACGAAGTCAAAACTGAGGACTCCGGTTTCGACCGTTGTCCACGCGGCGGTGGTTTGCGGCCCGAAAATCCTCCCGATCGGCTTTTTTCTCAGCCATACTTTACGATCTAAGATCATTGCACCGTGGAACATGTCTCAGTACCAAAAACCCCCACGCATTTCGCTGGAAACGAGCGTTTTCTACCTGCATTTCCAAGTTCGGTTCTCTCTGGCTATGCTTTGAACAAGCAGACTGGACACGGCCGTTGAAGAAACTTGGGTAGGGGGTCAATTTTCTCATTCTTGCTCCCCTTCCTCGGGATTGAAGGCTGTTAGGGTGTTTATCGTATCCTCCTGCTGCTTCTATTCTGTAGTCACCACCCCAGTGTACGGCACAGTCCATTGTTGAATACCGCTAAACAATGTAACTTGTCCGTCATGATCCTGACCTGTGTAGAGGCTGCCCTGTGTTGTTGGACCATATCTACCAATGACATGGAGATTTGTAAAAATTGTTTTAAATGCTGAGGGGAAAACAAACAAGTTCATATCAACATATTTTTCAGCACAATTTCTTTCAGTTCTCTTAAAGATGGCACAAAGGCTCGCATGAAACTTTTAAAGGAGAAAAGTGTTCTTGAAGTTTTATTTCATTCAAAAACATCATAAAGCTGTTATTACATCGCAGGTGAGACTGGAGGCAAAGCTAACAATAAAAAGGAAAAAAAAAATAAAAAAATAAAAACTTTCCAGTATATTGTTTGTGACTTTCATGACTCTACAGGCGATAATCGAGCAGGGGAACTATTTCAAATATCCACAACCTTGCTATTCTGTTTGCGCGTGAATGATAAAATCCGGCTAAATCAAGTCTAAAAATCAATTTAAAACTAAAAAGCGAAGGACCAATGAATAAACAAAAGAAACATAACAGAATTGAGTGAAGGATTACCTTCATTTTGAGATTAAGCCCTCCCCCCTTCTCTCTCTCTCCATGTCCTGTGCCTTGAATTCTATTTCTAAAAATCATGCGTAATGTTGAAATAGTGGATCTGCAAATGTAAACAAAAGATGTATTTCAATCGACAGAAGGAATTTAACTGATTCCTTTAGAACAATCACGATGGATTCTTTTCTAAAGAGGTTCCTTTACTACAAATCCTTTTTTTCATCCAATAATGGTCAATCGTTTCCAAGGAGGAGATGGAAGGAAGACTTTCTGCTATTATGAATTCAGAAAATGAATTGCGCAAGAATTGAAGAAGGAGAAAGGAAAGAGTGCGACATTAATGGAACAAGTTGAAGAGTTAGCAAGTGAGAACGAGAAATGGGAAAGTCTTGCGCAATCAAAAACTATTCTTCTTGAGGAAGAAACGAAAAAGTGGACGGAATAAATTGCCTCCATGACTGAGCTTCGCCAAGAACTGGAAAAGGAGAAAGCTACGAACCAACTGTTAGAAGATCAAGTAGAAAAATCTCTCCTCGGAGCTGAATCAAAAGCAAAGGTCCTTGAAGAAGAGAAGAAAAAAACAAGAGGAAGAAATGGCCCAAATCGTCGAAGAACTCAAAGATGAGAAAGAGAAGCTCCTGGAACAATTGCGTTAGATCAGCGCCTTGAAAGTGAAAGAGAGTGAAGACTGCTACGCAGAAAAGAACGACAGAATCAGAGAATTGGAGGAGAAACTTGCCACTGCCTCCCAAAACATCACGGACTGTGAACAAAGCATCCAACATTACCAGCTGAAGCTGGCCAAGGCCGAGTATGAACTGGAAACTACTGTGGCCAGACTTACCCATCTCGAAAAACAGGCAAGTACACTTTTTGTATCTATTTCTCTTGGAGCTTTTAGGTGCAGTTCAACCTATTAATATAAAAGATATTGCAATCTTACAAGGGACTCTAAAACCAAAGCAAAACGGGTTTCTGTATTTTAAACACATGATCTGGTTTTTTTTGTTATGCGTAGAATACTACGAATGCCATGGACTCCACTGAGGTTGAAAACTTGAGGAAGGAGTGCGAATCCGCAAAGAAAAAGCCGAGGACAATCTTCAGAGATACTTTAAGTCGGTCGAGGCGGTGGTACAAGTTTAACTGGACCAACCACAAAGCGAAGAAAAAACACGAACAACATTACAATCCGGGATTACCACGCCAGACAAACCAGCCCATGACGCTTTAATTGAGATACGAAATGGCCAATATTTCTTTCCATGTTCAATTTGCAGCAATTATCCACAAAGCGCAAGATGTAAGAAAATTCAAGAAGAAATGGAAGCTTTGCAATTCGAGTTAGCACAAAAGAACATGCAGATTCAGTCACTACAATATGACTTGTACAAATTGAAAGAAAAATACGACAATGAAACAAAATTACTGAAGAATGAGGTGGAATGGGGCTTAGAAAAAGTCGGATCGCTGAAACTGGAAATGAAGAGGTTGAAGGAACCTGAGACAGATGATACTATTAGTATAATGCGGTAAGCTCTTCTTACAATACAGCATAACTTAGTCACCAGCTTTCCAAGGTACGCTCGCTTTGGTTGTCATACTGAGCAGAAAAAAAATGTAGGTATGTGTATGATCTGAACTGGGTTGGTGGCTGACTTGAATAATCCTTGCATAGCAAGCATGGCGTTTTGTAAAGCAACATGTTCTCTCAGTTGTATCCTGGGGCAAGTTCCTTTAGGAAAAAACAATTTCAAAATCTTCGAGAAGTAACTTCCAGCATTCTGGGACATATTTGAGAAAATATCTTAGACAGATATTCATGTTAGATTCAGTTCAAAAGTATTTTTTTTTGTCTTTGATCGCAATTCACGAAGTAGCCGTTGCCAAACGGTCTAACGGCCAGCGCGTTTCCGCCGCCTACCGACTTCTATTGACAACTTTTGAATTTTCAATCGTCGGCCATTTTAAAAAATTAGTTAGTATTACAGAGACCTTAGATCAATCAGGGCGCACTCATCTCTAAGTTCACTTGAGCAATTATACTTGTAAGCAATAAGCAACGTCATCATTTGCCTGTGTCATCCTCACGGTCTGCTATTCTTAAAAAGTCCAACTCACGCTGGAAAGCTCTACGTATGAACTGTGAAGTCGTTGTGTCTCCGTGGAGAGCGTTTTAGCGCGCAATCCGAAGGTGTGTGGATAGATTCTTCATTGAGATTCAGAACCCTTCCTTCGTCCTACGCTTGTGACATCTTCATTAATTAATAAAGAGTTATTTACATCAATTTTGTTTTATTCTTTGTTTTCTTTTTCTCAATTCCAGGGGTCAACCTGTGGCGTCCAACGATAAGGAGAACAATGAAGAAGGAGTCGTGTCTAATGTGGCTATTTATTCCCTCATGGCTAAGCTTGGAAAACTCGAAACTGAAACGCAGACTTTGAAAGAAAATGTGGAAAAACTTGAAAAGGAGAAATCAACTTTAAGTTTACTCAATACAGAAGCAAGGTATTTTGTTTGTTAGTTGACATTTGCTTCTTTCCGTGCATGGAACTGTTTTCGTCTTTATTGTAGCAAGGTCACACATAGCAATCTCGAACTGAGTCCACGAGGCAAACAAACAGCAATTAAATCTTCAGAGAGATTTCTGCTAAGTGCTGGTTATTACACATTCTTGAAGGTTGAAAACCAGAACTTATTTTTGAAACTTTCCTGTCATTTCCTTAATTTTGCTTCAAAGAGGAATGTTGCACAAAAAAAAGGATCTTTTAAAAAGTAGCGTTCATTTTTAAGACAGCTAAAATTAATTACACTTTCTTGCAGCAATAAGGTAGCCCAGCTTTGCTCTGAAAACAACGCACTTAAAACAGCCAGGAAGAAATTAATGGAAGAGTTTCAAAAGCTGAAAAGAGTACAAGAGAGTTAAAAAACAAAAGACGATTCCGTTGGGCGACTTCCAGAGGGTAAGAGCGCATGCATTTTATATACCTACTGAAAACTCATAAAGCTCGCCTCATTCTGTTTTCTTGCTACCACAATTTTGGAGCAAAGTGGGGTTATTAAAAGCGAAATAATCGAGAAACGAATAGAATAGGAAATGGAAGGAAGAGATTGTGGCGTTTTCCGCTAATATATCAACTTTGAAATTATAAATGCAATGTAAAGGTGTGTCCGGCACTTCTGGCATTCTTCTTACCAACGGCTAAAAAAGTTGAACGCTGTCTCGGAGGATTAAAACGATCCTGTTCCTGAATTATGACTGGCTGTTGCGATAATCATTGGCAGTAGTAGGGAAGGAAATTGCAAATTAGCGAAATTTTCCTCATTCAAAGGCGCAGTAGTTAAAATGAACTGCTTTTTTCGCCAGGTTTCCACTGTAATCCAACAAAAAATTGCAAGGGAACCGAATAACGGGGACACGAGTAATCCAAGTCAACCTTTCTTTCTGTTTTATCTCCTCTTGTAGTCTCTACAGAAGCGCTTGAAAGACAGTCTAGGAATTCATCTGTTCTGAGTGAATTATCCACTTGCAGCGAAGCCCCGCCTGCTGTTGAGCGCAAGCGGGTGAAGCCAGAACCGAAGGAAAATTTCCAAAACTGGCTTTCAGGAGATGCAGCAAATAATATGTTTAAAGACGAGCCAAATCAGTGTGCTAATCAGTGATGTTATCATGTGCAGCTCAGCGCTGGCCTGTTGATTCATAGAGCCAATTTCACACTACAGATATAACGACAAAGACCTGAAGGCATAACAGGGTTAAAACTGTACGTCGATGTTTTTATGGTATGAACATACAGACATATTAAAATAAGCGTAGTTCCCATTTGCTTCATAGAGATATCGCCATTGTGTTGTGTTCATCCCTACGAGTTTGCACTACAATTTTAACCTCCCTAGTCGCTAGGCTTATTTCTGTAAATCATTATCACCAGTGCGAACCAGACATGAGATACTAAGTCACGAAAAAGGATTAAATCTTTGTTTTTATCGACTGCTTTAAAAAATGATCAGATGGGTGGATTGGATTCAAGTACGACTAGTTTTGGTTTTGCCATGCGTTGAATAATGACAATGATGATGTTGACGATAACTGTGTGGCAGAGTCTTGAGATTAAATAACTTGTTCATAAGAAGTGCCTCAAATTGTCTTTGATAACATAACACCGAATGTGGGATCGTATTTCATAACACTAATGGCGCTATAAAATGGGATCTGGCATCTGCCAAATTCTTCTTTTCTTTGAAGTAATGGGCATTCATTGTGAAAAGCAGTCAGTCTGCATACTGTCGTATATTTTAACTATTGGTGTTTCACGAGTGTTTGACCTCACGTCGGTCTTTATGTACTGAGATAATATACTATTCTCCTCAATCATCTTATAAAGGATGAAAAGTTTCTTTAAAAAAAGGGCTAAAAGAGTTGATAGAAAATCCAGGTGATTGGTATAGAGGAAAACATTTACCAATGTTGATCAATGAACAACACTGCCACCTTCAATGTTCTTTCTTCGTCAATGCCTTTAACTTTAACTAAACCATTTTTTATGTGAGTGAGAAAATTCGTGTTTTTGCTTTATTGCTTATTCCCCCTCCCTTCACTCCCTAAGAAAATAATGAAGGAAAGAAAAAGTGTGTAGATAATAAAAGTGTCCTTAACATTGGCTTTGCTTTCTGCAACTTCCACAGAAGAGCAAGCTAAAAAGAATAAAGTAGGTCCGAAAGTTGTCAAAACAAATTTAATTCATGAAGGAAAAATGAAGATAATTGCCAAACGTAAATAAGAGCCTTATTGTTTTATTATGCCTCTCATGTGGTATTTCGTGAACTTAGCCACCCTTAATTAATCTCATGCATGATTTACCGCGAGTGAGGCTTAAAAAAGCACTTGCGTAAAGTTCGGCAGGTCCGTGAGCGATTCATACCATAGAAATATCTTCTGCATTATTCAGTATCCAGTGAAGAAAAGTTTAAGATGGAATTATCAAGATCCACACTTTGTTGTGAAATGTCTACCTTTACAAATACGAGGAGATAAATAAATTTTCCCCAAGGCTTTGTAGAGAAATTTTCCTCAGAAGTTTCAATTTTCAAAAGACACCTGCACTAGTTTTGGATTCCTTGATAAAAGGCTCTCGTTTCTGGTCTTTAAATGAAGCGATGATCTTTTTCGCTGTATAGTTAATCCTTTATTAACCAAGCTTGTTCGATCAAGATAGCTGAATGTCAGCCACGTTTTTTTCCAATTCTTTAACCCCTTCCTCCACCCCCCAACTTGGATTTGTTATTTTAGCTTTGTGTTTCTTTTACTTCGTTTTTATCATTATTATCATCGGCATATTTTCTAATATTTGTATACCTCTTCCTTTTCTCAAAAATCCTCGCATTTTGTGAGCGTAAATCATATCGAAGTTAAGGAAATATAAAATAGTTTCATTGAAAGATCATTGCCTAAACAGTGAAGAAAGTCACAAACGATATACTGGAGAACATTTTTATTAATTGCTTTGCTCTAAGTTTCCAGTGTCATCTACGATGCAGCAAAACTTTTGAATTTAAGTTAATAATGTGATGTAAAAACTTTGTAAACTAAGCAACATTGTGTTTATAATAAATGTAAGTAATATCCCACTACAAATCGACATTGCCGCCTTTTCATGAAACCTTTTGACACTTATCTTCCATTTCAAATCCTTACAATAAATTATTTTAATTATCAAGTGTTAATAGCTTACTATAAGAGGCCGTGGTCTAGCTGGTTCGCTGAAGGCTAAAATACTGAGAAGTCAAGGAAAAGGTTTTTAAGCGAAAGTTTTAAAGGCTTCTAGGCTATTGGTAGAGATATCTTCGTGTTTATCTTAGTATATCTAACAAACACACATTCTTTACCTAAAACACACTGTCAAAGGGTGTGATACAAATTATTATTGTAGAAACAGAGAGAAATTATTACCATAATCATCATTATTATTATAGAAATTAACGTTAAATTATTATCATAGAAACAGAGAGAAAAACTTATGCAATACGTATAACTCAAACATCGAAGAGGAACATTTTATAGAACTAGCAATGCTTTTTAACAAATGCTCTTCAATCAAATACTTTCTACCTACTTTTGGTCCGAAACTTTAGCATTTATTGACAATTACACCCGTCAATTTACGAAGCTGTCTTGGCAATTTTGTTGGTTTTCCAGTCTTTATACCAGCGTGCAAATTGGACTTGTTTCGGGAGACAATTCAAATTTTGAAAAATTGTTTTCACCATCTGATAACCCATGCTCACACTTTAAATCAGAGCTGCGTTCGAAAAACCAAACTAATCCAGTGTGACAGGGTCAGTCATTACTGCTGAAACTCAAATCTTTACTAATCTTCTTGAGGATCAGCAGAGGAAGGTCAGTAAAGTTTTGAAATAAAGACGGTGTATGAACAAACAGCCAAAGCTTTCAGAAGATATAATCGTCAGCAATTTGTTTCTCATTGCAATTGCTCCGTAAAATTACACTTTGGGATGTCTCGTCCATGCGACTACGTCATCTTTCTGCGTGACCTTAGTGAAAAAGTATACCGAGCGGGACTATTTCTGAAAAACAAATTTTCTACATTATTTCATATCCTAAGAGCTCTATTTACCTTTGGGCTATAAACAAGAACAATTAGAATGCCAGTCAAACAGAGATGAACCCTTACCTCATAATCACTTTGTATGATAACACGTAGTCAATTTTTTTTTTTTACGGCAACGTGATAATCACCTTACCATGACCAGCCCTGTTATAACAACATTCATTCTTCTGTTTCTTTCCATCGTTGTAAGAGCCACCCCCTCCCCCACAGCTATCATGACTACCACTTCCACTACTTCCCCCAGAGTACCCTCCTCCTCCTCCTCCTCCTGCCCATCCATGAGCTCCACCTCCTCCACCAAACCCACCAACAACGTTGTGATGCAGTGATCTCCCACCCTCCCCTCCCTGAAGAAATCCATTACCGCCTTCTCCGCCCTCTCCCTTGGTTCCATTGAAATTCTCTCCGTTTCTTCCACTGGAGTAAAACCCGCCACCACCGCCACCTGAGAACAAATAAAACAACAAAATGATGAGTAAAGTTTTAGTAAACAAAACGCCCTTTTTTAATTATATCCCTAATGTACCCATATCAGCGTGTACAATAATTCTATCGAGCCGCCATCCATTTAGTTTAAGATTTTGATATCTATCTTTTATATGCCCAGATATATAGACTGGTCCTCTTCCTAGGAAGTCTTAGGGTTTTTTGTTGTTTTTGTTGTTGTTGTTGTTTTTTGTTTTTTTTGTTTTATGTAGGATTAGGGCCGATGATTTACATGTGAAGCATACATTAACACATTCATTAATGAGGAGCTGATGGGTAAGGGATCATCACAGTATTACCTGAGTTACCATCATCAGCAGTCTGCGCACCATGCCCATTGCTCCCCCCTGACCATGAATCGTATCCTAGATTCCCTGTTGTATTTGTGCTGGCGTCACATCCTGCATGTCTTGACTGTGCAGAATCTATCCCTCCTCCGCCTCCAGCTATTATCAAAGGCGTGTCGGCTCCTCTCACTACAAATGTACCTCCACCACCTCCAGATGATTCATTCCTCTTGTTTATTTCTCCTTCTTGACCAACAAGTATCTGGATAACTTCACCCTCGTTTAAACGGAATTCTCCAACTATTCTTGCTCCTCTTCCACGGTATTGACGGCTGTTAAGGTATGAATCGTACCCTCCTGCTGCTCCAATCGCTTTTATTTTGTAGTCATCAGTGTACGGCACAGTCCATTGTTGAATACCGTTGGACAGTGTAACTTGTCCGTCATGATCCTGACCTGTGTAGTGACTGCCCAGCGTTGTTGGACCATATCTTCCAGTGGCATTGAGATTTGTAAAAATTGCTTTAAACGCTGAGGGGAAAACAAACAAGCTCATATCAACATATTTTTTAAGGCACCATTTCTTACAGCTCTCTTAAAGATGACACAAAGGCTCGCTGTTTATTGATGCCATGATACAAAACCTTAAATCGTATCTTCTTTAATAATTTTAAAATAAGTCGTGCGTTCGAGTACTTGCAAGTTACGTAACTTTTTTACAAGCTCTAAAGGGGCATGAAAAAATTAATCGTCTACATTATATATTTAGCCTTCAAATGAGAGATTAATCAATACAAAACCATGCAAAATTTCTTAAACGGATATCAACCGCGAACATTGGAGGTGGGAACAACCAAAAAAAAATTAATAAGCAATAATAATAATAATAACAATAATAATAATAATAATGAAGTGTATCACTAGACGTGTCAAAGTAAAAGATTAACGGGAGGAGATGACTCGCAAGCATTAAGGTAAACCTGACATTTATTTACAGAAATTCTCAGTTTCTGGTCACCTTTTCTTTCACATTTTTTTCCCTTGAAACCAACTGGACACAAGCAAATGTATCTCTCATCTGTGAACCTATTTAGACAGGTTGCATTATGAAGACAAGGGCTGCTTGAACATGGATTCTGCAGGGATAAAGTTATCTTTAGTGGGATTTTTTTTTTAAGAAAAACTCAGCATAACCATACCAAGGAGAATTGAAAATGAATCTATCGTATTGTGTTCTATCCAAATATCCGCACCTTTGTAGCCCAATACTGGTATCCTTCTCGGGGTTTCAGGTCATCTGGATGTTGAATGTGATCAGAATCACTTAGTTGACAGACCCTGAGTCCATTCTTGCTGGGTGGACCGACGTTCATGGACACACAGGTATTTTCCATGAGGCACCTATTTTTGCAGTCGCTATAGGGCTCAATTCCCGTGGTTAAATATATTTGTTTGAAAACGTGCTGTTGCAGAGCATGTTCTCCAACTGGCTTCTCGAACATAAGACTTCGACAAAGAATACCTGCAACTGATTGGTTAGAGATATGGTGACAAGCATGTTGGACATTTTTTGCGTCAAATAGTATTACAAATTCGTGTCCCCGAGATAATTTTTTTTCTTTTACTGGTGCTTTAGCAGCTGGAATAAGCCCTACGTCTGTTGAGAATTTAGCCACTTCGTCCACATTTCTGTTCAACGTTAAATCAGCGACGGTCTAATCGCAGGTTAGTCGTCAATGCTGCGCAATGCTGTGCGTCTTAAAAGAGAAAGCGCCAGTTCAAATATTGCCGAGATTAGTTACAGAAATTTATGGTTATCAAATACGAATAAGACAGTCTTGAAAGAAAAATCCGAGGGCTCTGAGCGGTTATTAATGATTCTCCTCTGCCGTAAGGTCTTCTCTCTAAGGACACAGCCATGAGCCGTGTATTTTTGAATACGAAACAGGGAAAAATCAAAAAACGTTCAGCCTACTTACCTACCTCACTTGCTCGAACCGTCCAGGGGATTATTGACCCTCGGTTGCTTCTGTACGGACCGAGCGCTGTGACCTTAGGCCAATATTCCCCAGTACGGCCCCCTCGCTCGGTTGGTAAGAAATTAGCATTCAAGGCTTTTGGCTGACTTTTCATCATACGAGATTTCGTAAGGAAAGCTACTTACCTCGCAAAGTTAAAACAAAATTAAGATCTAGAACTGTGATAAAATTTTACATCACACGGCTGTATTTTTACTGGATGATTCTGAGGGACAGAGGGACTAAAGGGGTCTATGGTACGAGTAACTCTGTACAATAATCTTATTCGAAACGTTATAACTTCACCTCTCAAAGTATTTTTCAAAGTGAGTAAAATACAGTTCTGTATAAATTCTCGCGTTTCCTTTAGATCGATCACATTATACAATTGTGACCAAAAAAAAAATCAGCTTTTATTCGGAGTGTTTTAGGAATGAAATTTATTATTTCTACATGCTTGATTTTAAACAATACTGCATGAAAATTTCCTTTTTCTCTCATATCTTATTCATGATCTTTTCTTTAATTAGAAACAAGATATTTTGTGGAATATAAACCTATTCTTATTTAGTGATATGACAACAAAGCTAGAGTAAAAGAGTGAAGGAACAAAATATAAGCGTTTTCCCCCAAAAGAACGTACGATAGCGTACTCAATCCCCCTTCCCTCCCTCCCCCTCTTCCATTTTGATTGAAAGTATGTGAAGTGCGTCATATTGACAAAATACTGTATAGCTGGGAAAACAAAGTGAAATAAAACTAAGAGACGTAGAAGTGTGGCGTATCTTATAAGTTTACCGCAAGTTGGTGAAATGTATTGCAAAGTTGACGTAAAAAAATTTCCACCACCGGATGAAAAACATCGAGGATAAAAGAAACCATTTACACCGGAAAAAAAGCATAAGCATTTTGTCGAATTAAAGCTATGAAATAAGAAGAAGAATATTGAATTAAAATATCATGCTTATTCGATTTCAAAGTTGAGAAATGAAATCCATAGCAAAATTAGGTTAAATATGAAGAGTAGAAGGACAAAATGAAAATTCCGCTCTTAGAAAGGTAAGGAGGATTTTCTTAACAAGAATTTAAATTGACTTTTCTCAGGCAGTTAATAACTCGCATATTTAATTAAAGTTGCATTAAGTGAAGAGAAAAGTGAATCAAATTCTCTACCTTGGTTTCCTTCTGTAAAGCATAGAAGCCATCCTCCCCACAGCAAAAAATTTAAAAGCGAAGACAAAAATAAAGAATAGTGCTCTTCCATCCTCAACATAACACTAGGACATGACTCTCAAATCTCACTTTCGACTGGAGAAGTGGGAGTTTAGAACTGTTTAGGCGTTCCCAAAGTCTTTGACAGATTCATCACTGAGAAACTGTATCAATTATTTATAACTATCAATGCGATACTCAACTGACATATACACCTTCTCATTGTTAGGCCATTATTCCCTCCACCTAGGAGATGAGAATAGATTCGACTTGACCTTCTAAGCCCACAGCGGCCAGCTGAGATACAATGACTTTTTGAGCGCCGCTTGTTGAAACACACCTATAATTTGAATTTACCGAATCACTGCGATCAGTTACCGAAGAGACATTGTGACATGAGACTTTTCATCACGGTTAAAACAGATCAATGCGAAATTTCGCAAAGAACGAAACGCTAAGACATTCATTTGCGTCGGGAAGTCAAAATATTGACTTAACCTGTGTATACGTCAATTTGACAACACATAAACATAACATTTCACAGCCTTGGGAATCACTAAGCTGTTTATTCACGACAGGCCATCAGTGGATAAAAAAAATTGTAAAGAAACAACTTCTTTGCTATGAAAATACTGTATAGCTATTGTAAACCTTCACTCAATTCTGATGTTGTTATTTATTTGTTGGTTCTTCCTTTTTTTAGTTTTGAATTGATTTTTAGACTTTATTTAGCCGGATTTATTCATTCAAGCGCAAACAGAAAGGGAAGGTTGTGGAAATTTGAAATAGTTTCCCCGTGCGATCATCGCTTGCACAGTCAAGAGAGTCACAAACAATATATTGGAGAGTTTTCTTTATTGATAGCTTTGCACCAAGCTTCCAGTCTCACCTACGATGTAGTTACAGCTTTCTGATGTTTTCGAATGAAATAAAACTTCAAGAACACTTTTCTCCTTCAAAAGTTTTATGCGGAGATGCTACGTTAAGACTTACCCTGTGTCACATTTACAGCTAAGTCTTATTTAAGGTAATGTTAGCGTTAGGTAAGGTAAATTAACATCAAGCTTCTTCAGTTCAAGTGAAACAGAGATTCAATCATCCTTTTTCACACGCTCGATTGAACCTCATGTCATGGAGCAGTTTTTCTCTTTCTGGGTCAAACAAACAACTTTTTAGCCGAAGGCTTCGATATCCGTTTGTTTATCAAAAGTGTATCTACGAAATACATGGTTAGTGTACTTTTCTTATCCAGCGCGCTCTACCAAAATGCGTGATATAAATTCTTGTAAAAGGTATGTTAGAAAACCAAACGAAGGTTACGCAGTTATCTAGAACTATATGTAAATGTAAATATATCACTTAAATCATACTCTGTGCAATATGTATTATTCAGCCGACAAAAGGACAATTTCACTTTCCATAGGTAATATTAATAGTGGTAATAGGACCGAGTGGAGTCCAATTCGATCTGTAATCATAGGAGTGATTGACAAAATCTCGATATGATTACAGACAGAATTGAACGACAAGAAGTCCTGTTATCAATTAATCATAACCATTTCAATTTCCGAAAGAAAGAAATACACCTAGAACAAATATCTCCAGTGGAGATAATGTCTTTAGTTAAAAATTCCTCCATTTTAGAACTTCCCCAGTTTTTCTTTGGATAAGTGGTTGTTGCTATGGTTATTTTTTCACTTCTTTGATCGGTGGATTAGCTGAGTGGACTTAAAATGATTGGCTGTTTCAACTGTCCGACTGCAGGTCTCCGATTGAAGCCGACTGTCCGATTGCACTGTACACAACGATTCGTGAAAAATGAAGCTGCGAATGTACCAACAATGTTTGAGGAATTTTTAATGGCCATGATTTAAACAAATACTAACAGATACGTTGTACCTAATTTTGGTCTGAAACTTTAACTTTTCTGTACAATTTCAACATACAAATCGAGAAAGCTGTTGTAGCAACTTTTTCGGTTTTTTTTTGTTGTCTTACCGCTTTGTAACTTCTAATTATTTTCCTCACCCAAAGGCTCGAAAAGAATTTAAATTTTGACTAGTAGTGCGTGGAATTAACTCCTTAGCTCACCCGAAAAGGCATATAGGTTTTTTACTGCTCCTTTATGAGAAGCATCCTTACTCTTTGGATTCAAAATCTTTACTGATCTTCTCTTAAGATCGGCAAATTAGGTCAGCGTAGTGATGTTAATGATCAGGCAGTAATCAATACTCATGTACTCGTCCAGAACTTGTTTCTCATCGTCCAAAGTTGTCCTTGTGATGATTGGTCCATACGTAATGCTATCTTTCCAAATGACCTTATCATAAGGATTAACTCTTTCACTCCCAAGATCTCTTTAGTAATTCTCCTCACCGTCTGCCATACAGTTCTTATCATGTCGATTGGGAGAATTTGGTATTGGATCAACTAATAATCCCGAATTGATATTTTTCTTTATTCTTATGATTTCTATGCTTGATATTCTACAGGTTATTGTAAGGAAAAGTTCTACCTTTGTCACTCATGGGGTGTAAACAGTTAAACAACATTTGCACTAACGGTTGGTGACATGGGCTACTTAAAAAAGACGGCTCAAACCAGCCCTCCCCAATGATTATTTTACCATTTTTGTTCCGCAACTGGAAAAAGACATTAGCCAATCAAAATGAAGCTACTACTGACAGCTTCGTTGCGATTGGCTAGTTTTTTTTTTCTGGTTACGGAACGGAAGTGGTAAAATAGTCATTGTGGAGGGCTGGTTTGTAACTTCGTTTGACCGACATATTAATATCTTTATTCCCTTGGTGATTAATAATGCGAGAAAAGTTCCCAAAAAGAATATTTTTGGCAAATGGGTTCACGCTGCGTGACGTTTCTCGGAACTTCCTAGTTTTGGACTGATTAATGATTCTAAAATGATAGTTTACTCATACATGCTAACATGCTAAATGAATGGGAAATCACAAAACCAGTTTGTCTTTTGAAGTTTTTTTTTTGTTATTATTCAGGGAATTTTTAAAGGTGTAGAATTGTTTTGCCTTCAACATAGAATACTTAAGACTTACATTTATTAAAATTGGCTCTTAGACTTAATAATTCACGCATCCCCAGAAAAGTTATTCAGTGATAGTAATAAGAAATAATGAGTATCTTCCTGCATTTTCTTCCTTTCGTTTTATTTTCTTTTTCACCGTTTTTTTGTTTCGTTGTGATCATTGTTTCAGAGGAATTTTCTTTCAAAATGGCACAAAAGGAGAGGCTCGCTAGCGGGTATTTTCATGCTAAAAGGATGCTGAAGGAAAATAGTAAACAGGGAACTAAAGAAAGTTATTATCTCGCCAAATTTGATTAATAATGAATGACGGTAGAAACTCAACTTCGCCGTTGGGCTCTGCAAGAACCTAACAATACGAGAGGAAGATAACTGATGGTTGTTCCGTTTGTCTCACATTACCTGAAAATATTTTTTTAAAAATATTTTCAAGTAATGTTCTTAAAAGAACCAAACTATCGTGATAAGAGAGTTAAAAACGTTCTTCTCCGGCAAAACTCTAAGGATGAAGGACCGTCGCTTCCAGGTGCTTTCTTTCGTATTTTTCCTTGTTTTGTTTGAAGGCTGGTTCTTCACCTTAACAGCTGCAGGCCATAATGAAATAACTTTAACATTCTTGTGTCTGGGTTTTTAAAAACATTTTTCCTATGGCAACACCTCAAGTAATCCACATCTGTAATTGAAGAAAAGCAATGGCCTGACGAATCGGGCTTGAAATTAATGCAATTTTCAGCAGATTGGAAATCCTAATTTACCACATCGATAGAGTTCTGAAGTAAAAACTGATGCGACCATCTCGAAAAAACGTGAGGGCGACGAAATTTAGTACTTATATGGCCCATTAAAATTGAAAAAGAAGGGAACCGCGATTTTAGAAGGAAGCCAACAAAGAAACTTTCAAGACATGTTGAAACAAAGTGTACGGGAACTTAACTTAAATTATAAGTTTGAATTCCTAAACAATGGATGAAAGGTTTTCTTGTATCTGTCCTTTAAATAACGTGATCTCTTTGCTTTAGAGTTAATCAGTTATTGACCACGCTTGTTCGATCAAGATGGCTGAATATCAGCCTCCTTCTTTTTCAATTCTTCAACCCTTTCCTCAGGTGGGTTACAGGGACACCCTTCCTCCAACCCCCAACTTAGATCTGTTATTTTAGCTTTGTGTTTGTTCCACTTGGTTTTATTATTATTATTATTGTTATGTTTCTTAGCTTATCTTCTTTTTTTCTAATATCTGTATATCTCTACCTTTTCTCGAAAAATCCTCGCATTTTGTGAGCGTAAATCATATTTATCGAAGTTAAGGAAATATGAAATAGTTTCATTGAAAGATCATTGCCTAAACAGTCAAGAAATTCACAAACGATATACTGGAGGACATTTTTATTAATTGCCTTGCTTTGAGTTTCCAGTGTCATTTAGGATGCAGAAAAAGCTTTGACTTAAATTTTGCATGGTAATGTGATGAAAAAGCTTATGTTTGTAAACTAAGCAAAAATGTGTTTATAATAAATGTTAGTAATATCCCACTGCAGATTAACACTACCGCCTTTTCATGAAACCCTTTTAACGCTTATCTTTCATTTCAAGATCCTTACAATAAATAATTTTTATTTTCATGTTATAGTTTACCGTAAGAGCCCGTGGTCTGGCTGGTTTTCTGATGGCTAAAATACTTAGAAGTCAAGGCAAAGGTTTTTAAGCGAAAGTTTTAAAGGCTTTTAAGCTGATGGCAATCGTACCCTCCTGTTTACCACAAGTATATCTAAGAAATACATAGTGTATTATTCATTATCTACACACTGTCAAAAAACGTGATATAAATTATTATTACAGAAACAAAGAGAATATTATCCCTTTAGTAAAAAACTCATGCAATACTTATAACTCAAATATTGGAAAGGAACATTTTATAGAACCAGCAATGCCTTTTGACAAATGTTGTACGTTGAGTCAAATACTTTCTTCTTAATTTTGGTCAATTTTAGCATTTATTTACAATAAAACCCGTCAATTTACAAAGCTGTCATGGCAACTCTATTGTATTTTCGTTCTTCATGCCAGCGTGCACATCCTAACTATTTCGGGAGAGAATTCAAATTATGGAAAATCGTCTTCACCACCTGAAAAAGCATGCTTGTTTGTTTTTTCGTTTTTTTTTGTGGGACTAGGGCCAATGATTTAAATTTGAAGCATACATTAACACATTCATTAATAAGGAGCTAATAGGTAAGGGATCACCACAATATACTCTTACCTGAGTAGCCATAATCAGCCATCTGCGCACCATGCCCATTGCTCCCCCCTGGCCATGACTTGTATCCAGAATTCCCTGTTTTGCTTGTGCTAGCGTCACATCCTGCATGTCTTGACTGTGCAGAATCTATCCCTCCTCCGCCTCCAGCTATTATCAAAGGTGTGTTGGTTCCTTTCACCAAAAATGTACCTCCACCACCACCAGAGGATTGATCCATCTTGTTTATTCCTCCTTCTTGACCTACAAGTATCTGGATAACTTCATCCTCCTTTAAACGGAATGTTCCAATCATTCTTGCTCCTCTCCCTCGATACTGAGGGTTGTTAGTAGCTCGCTCGTATCCTCCTGCTGCTCCTACCGCTTCTATTCTGTAGTCACCAGTGTACGGCACAGTCCACTGTTGAATACCGCTAGACAATGTAACTTGTCCGTCATGATCCTGACCTGTGTAGTGACTGCCCAGCGCTGTTGGACCATATCTTCCAGTGGCATTGAGATTTGTAAAAATTGCTTTGAATGCTGAGGGGAAAACAAACAAGCTCATATCAACATATTTTTGATAGCAAGCTTAGTTCGTATCTTCTTCATTAATTACGTAAACATTTTTACAATCCCTAAAGGGGCAAGGAAAAATGTAAGAAAGGATAAATTAACCGTCTACATTGTATATTTGGCTTTCAAATGACAGATTAATTAATCCACTATACAAAATTTCTTACACGGATATCAACCGCGAACATTGAAGGTGGGGAAAGAGCAAAAACAAAGAGAAAACAAAAAACAACAAAAAAACAACAACAAAAAAAATAATTAAAATAATATTAATGAAGCGTACCACGAGACGTGTCACAGTGAAAGATTCCTAGAAGGAGATAACAAACAAGCATGAAGATAAACCTGACATTTATTCAGATCAATTCTTAGCTTCTGATCACCTTTTTTTTCACATTTTTTTCCCTTGAAACCAGCTTGACACAAGCAAATGTATCTCTTATCTGTGAACCCATTTAGGCAGGTTGCATTATGAAGACAAGGGCTGCTTGAACATGGATTCTGCAGGGATAAAGTTGTCTTTAGTGGGATTTATGTTAATAAAAACTAAACATAACCATACCAAGGAGAATTGGAAAATGAATCTATCGTATTGTGTTCTATCCAAATATCCGCACCTTTGTAGCCCAATACTGGTATCCTTCTTCGGGTTTAAGGTCATCAGGATGTTCACTCAGTTGACAGACCCTGAGTCCATTCTTGTCGGGTGGACCAACGTTGACGGACACACAGGTGTTTTCCATGAGGCACCTATTTTTGCAGTCGCTATGGGGCTCAATTGCCATGGTTAAATATATTTGTTTGAAAACGTGCTGTTGCAGAGCACGTCCTCCAACTGACTTCTCAAACATAAGACTTCGGCAATGAATACCTGCAACCGATTAGTTAGAGATATGGTGACAAGCATGTTGGACCTTTTTTTGCATCAAATAGTATTACAAATTCGTGTCCCCCAGATACGTCTTATTCTAGTGCTTTCGCAGCTGGAATAAGCCCTACGTCCGTAATGAATTTAGCCAACTCGTCCACATTTCTGTTCAACGTTAAATCAGCGACGGTCTAATTGCAGGTTAGTCGTCAATGTTGCGCAAATGAGCTATCGTTTTAAAAGAGAAAGCGCCAGCTTGAATATTGCCGAGATTCGCTAAATCAATTTATGGTTGTCGAATGCGTTTATTACATGGGAAGATAGACCTGAGGAATAATGCGAGTGCTCTAATTGGATTTTTAACAATGCTAGATGAAAATTTTCTTTTTCTCTTATAACTTATTTATGATTTTTTCGTTAATTAGAAACAAGATATTTTGTGGAATATAAACATATTCTTGTGATAAATTACACCTTATTTAATGGTATGACAACGAAGCTAGGGGAAAAAAAAGCGAAAGGGGAGTGAAAGGAACAAAAAACAAACGTCTTCCCCAAAAGAACGTACGCTAGCGTTCTCGATCCCCCCTCCCACCACTTTCCTTTTTGATCAAAGCTATGTGAACTGCGCCATATTGACAAAATACTTAAAAACGAAGGAAAACAAAGTGAGAAGTAGAAGTTTAGCGTATCTTTTAAGTTTACCGTAAGTTGGTGAAATGTTTTGCAAAGTTGATGTAAAAGAAGAGTTCAACCACGAGAGGCAAAAAAAGATAAAAGAAACCATTTACACCGAAAAAAAACCAAAGCATTTTGTTGAATTAAAGTTATGAAATTGGAAGAAGAATAAATTAAAATACCATGCTTACTCGATTTCAAAGTTGAGAAATAAAATCAATAGCAAAACTAAACTTAAATATGAAGAGTAGATACAAAAAATAAAAATTTCGCTCCTAGAAAGGTAGAGGAGACTTTCTTAATAAGAATTTAGTTTTACTTTTTTCAGGCAGTCAATAAGTCGCATATTAAATTAAAGTTGCATTAAGTGAAGAAAGGAGTGAACCAAATTCTTTACCTTGGTTTCCTTCTACAAAGCAAAGAAGCCATCCTCCACACAGAAAAAAATTTAAGAGCGAAGACAAAAATAAAGAACGGTGCTCTACCATCCTCAACATAACATTAGGACATCATTTGCAAATCTCACTTTTGAGGGGAGAAGCGTGAGTCTAGCACTGTTTAAGCGTTCGCAAAGTCTTTGACAGATGCCTCACTAACAAACTGTATCAATTATTGATAACTATCAATGTAATACTAGGATGACTACACGCCTTCTCATTGTTAAGCGATTATTCACTCCACCCAGGAGATGAGAATCGACTCGACTTGACTTTCCTAGCCCATGGCAGCCAGCTGAGATTCGACGAGTTTTAGATGAAAAGAAAAGGATTTGTAATGAAGCAACTTCTTTGGAAAAGCTCTAAAGTGCTCTAAAGGAATCAGTTGAATCCCTTTTGTTGATTGAGATGCATCTTTTGTTTACATTTGCAGATCCACTGTTTGAACATTACGCATGATTTTTTGAAATAGAATTTAGTGTAAAAGGCAAGAATTCTCCCCTTAAAGTAGACAATTTTGGGTATTTTTTTGTACTCGTCTCTTCTGCAGTTGCAACCACAGCAAATTTCCAAGCCCCAATTTCTGGTTAGCTTCCCGTTTAATGTATATTGCACTGGACTCAGCTTCCAGCGTCTCCCGCAGATCTACTAATCCTTAATCTAATAGACTGAGCACGGGGAGTTTACATTTCAAAATTCCCCCAAATATTTTTGGTGTCAAATCGATACCTAGTCTAAGGGGGGGGGGGGCGGTATTTCCAAATGAAGTTAGTTTCTTTTGTTTATTCGTTGGTCCTTCGATTTTAGTTTTAAATTTATTTTTAGCCGGATTTTATCATTCACGCGCAAAACGGAAAAGAAAGGCTTTGGAAATTTGAAATAGTTCCCCTGCTCGATCATCGCCTGACAGGAGAGTCACAAAAAATATACTGGAGAGTTTTTTGTTTTTGTTCTTTTGTTAGCTTTGCACTAAGCCTCCAGTCTCACCTACGATGTAGCAACAGCTTTTTGATGTTTTCGAATGAAACAAAACTTCAAGAGCACTTTTATCCTTTAAAACTCTCCAGTATATTGTTTGTGACTTTCTTGACTATACAGGCGATATTCGAGCAGGGGAACTACTTCAAATATCCACAACCTTCCTATTCTGGTTGTGCATGAATGATAAAATCCGGCTAAATCAAGTCTAAAAATCAAGTTAAAACTAAAAACCAAGGACCAATGAATAAACGAAAGAAACATAACAGAACTGAGTGAAGGATTACCTTCATTTTGAGATTAAGCCTCCCCTCTCTCTCTCTCTCCTTAGAGTAAATTATGATTTGCCTTCTTTAGGGGGGAAAATCCTTGTCTTTTATACTAAATTCTATTTAAAAAAATCATGCGTAATGTTGCGACAGTGGATCTGCAAATGTAAACAAAAGATGCACTTTCCAAGAATCCTAAGGCTGTGGAATATTATGTTTATGTGTTGTCAATAATCCCCAGGACGGCTCGAGCAAGTGAGGGGTTAAATATTTATATTAGGAGTAAGTTGTGACACGTTGTAGAATCAAATACTGCTAAATTACACACAAAACTGAGTTATCGTTTTATATTCCCTTCAAATAAAAACCCGCGGCTATGAAATATCCCTAAAAACCGACAACTTGTCGAAATATGAGGCGATTCTTGTTTTCCACTGGCACCAGGGGCGGCCTAGATTGCCTACTATGAAATTGCTAGCACAAAAACGAAATTCTTCGCGCCATTTTGTGACAATATAATGATTATTGCTCAACATTTTCCGAGCAAGATAGCTAGATGTTGTTGTCTTCTTTTGTGTTTTTACGTTCCATCAAGACGCAAAAACAATTGGGTCAATTGAATACTCACTAAGTAAACAATAAAGCAACTTCAAAGTCTTGCAGTGAGTCCAATAGGTAGATCGTTATCGATAGCAGAAATACTCACTCTTAGTGTTGTCGTATACGTTTGTGCATCACACTTTGTCTCTCCTTCAGCATAATTCGTCGGACGAGTCAATAGAAATCGCTGGACGAGGGACTTATCTGAGTTTAATCTGATTGCACATCAGGTATGCAAAAAAGCATACAGCGAATGCAACAAGAAATGAACACTCGAGTCGGACTCTTTTTCCCTGGAATCAGTTAGCTCGCGTCTTACAACTCGGATCTTAAATTAACGAAAAATTCATCATACTATTCCGTTCCTTTCCTCCCTTTTCCTTAGTAAACGGTCGCTGGACACTGTGGTCAATATGGGAAGATTGCTCTAAAATATGCCAAGGCTAGGAGGCTATCTTGTCCCAATCCTCCGCTTCAGTAAGGAGGACGAGCGTGCACTGGGTCGAGTAAACAGATTAAGTCGTGTTTGCCCAGGCATTGTCCGAGTAAGTACAGATTTTTCATGTTCACGAATAATGTAAATATCTTCTGTCTTAGACATAATTATTCGTACAGTTTCGATTGCGAGCGTCCATTTCGCTCGGCCATTTCAATCCACCCGCCTCATCTTTTAATGTTAGCGTGCAAAGGATCGAGAGCACAAAGACACCGTTAGCTTTCCGCTATATCATCGCAGAAAAAAAGGAATAAACAGCAAAGCTTTTATGTTCAACAAATCTACACTTCTCAGGTATCTCTTGTCCCGATATGACTCCTTCTTAAGAAATCAGACGATCTTAATCTCGTACCCAGATCCTATCGTGTGATTGTAACTGCTTGCCTGTGAAAGGTATGGGTACGAGACTAAGCCGATCTAGCACGAAGGCCCACGATGAATGCTAATCTTATTAACACTATTCTCTTATGTTTAGGTTATGTTAGTTGGGGTTCCTGGGGTACATGGTCAGCATGCTCCAAAACCTGCGGTGGCGGAACACAGAATCGTAAACGGAAATGTCAAGTTTACAGTCAAAGATACGGTGATTGCGCAGGCGCAAATGAAGAGACCCGCTTGTGTAACACACTATCATGTCCTGCTGGTAGGCAGCTAAATCTCTCTCCTCAATATCGATAAAGTATAAAGGTGCCAGCTTATTTTCGCCTTTTAAAAGTAATACATCTTAAGAGGAAATTAGTGTGATTTTCTTTCTTAAAAGGTAGCATAATAATTTCAACAGCGATTAGATTGTTCTACCGCAAGAAGTGCTTGATTACTACTTAAAACCCTAAGGTGCTTAGCAAAAACGTCTTTCGTTTGTTTCTTGGATTCAGCTCTGTCGGTTCAGCTCTTGATAGAGTCTTTTTCCCCAAGTTTTGTTGAAAATACTAACGTTTTGCCCGCATAGATTAGTTTAAAATTCTAAAACATGGGCTTTGAAATTTTTTGTTTGAGATCGAAATGTATCTCCCGAAAGCGTGTTTAATTAACCTGACTATTTCCAACATTTTTGTATGTATTGACCAAGTTGTTAATGGTGGTTGGGGAGACTGGAGTGATTGGAGCGCATGCTGTGTATGGTGTGGGCCTGGGACCAGTATCAGGAGGGGGAAATACAACAATCTACCCCCAGACCCCGGTGGTCAACCTTGTCAGAGACCTCCTTTCTCAAACAAGCCTTGTAACGAAGGACTTTGTCCTGGTATGTGTGGACATAGCATTTTAACTAAACTCACAATTCTCAAAGAGATGTTTAAAAGGGGGCTCAATTGTAAAACGGCCTAATTACAGTTCTACGACGAAGAAGCGATTTCACATTTACAAGATCATACTGCACAAGGGCCCTCTAATGACTGGAAAAAATTAAAAAAACCAAACCGATGTGGTAGTATAGAACAGTTTTGAATTTATTTTGACG